GAGAGAGAGAGAGAGAGAGAGAGAGAGAGAGAGAGAGAGAGAGAGAGAGAGAGATTTAAGCCTTTTTGATTGCACCCTACAGCACAAACCGTATTGATGTGTCTCTTCTGCTGAAAATATAATAATGTCCCAGCCTCACACTGCTTCATCTATGTTTGTTACTCTCCCAACTCCTAGATCTGGCCTGGCAGTCTGTCTTCAGGATGGACTGAGAGTGAAAAAGTGGACCAACACCTTGAAATCCTTCAAAGAGCCAGGCTGGATGTACACGGTGAACAAACAATGCCAGCTGATCTTCGGTGAAGGCTATGTGGTTTGCCCTTATACGGTAAGTTGTCTAGGACCTGCTCATACCTTTTCAATTTCTGCATCATTAAATTTCTGACCCACTGGGTCATTATGTCTAGCTGTTTGGGCAATAGTATTTAGAAAGAATGTATGACACATTAGACATGATGTACATATAAGTCACATTCGTAATTATTTTTTAAAATCTGGTTTCCGGCTTTTGAATATCAGTAGTATGTTAGCAATAGACCAAGTATCCAATATGATTCATATGATTAAAACAGAACCTAGATTAAAACAATTTTTGTTCCTCAATTTGTGTTTGTTTGTCGCAAGTGTTATGCATTTCTGGCATATTGATACAAGTCTTATTGGAAGAGCATCAGATTTCTTCTTTTCTTTCCCGTGTCATTAACTTTTTGGTCTCACTCTTTCTCAACTCTGTTTAATGGTCACTGTGGTCAATCTTTACAGCGTAAGCTAAAGAGGCAAACTCATTCAGTATTATGGTTTGTGAACATTAAGTTAATAATATTGTTGTAGATCACTTTGTAAGTGAGCACATTGGCATATAGTGAAGAAGTGTATTAAACAAAATAAAAGCTTTATATCAGATATTGTTTTAATTGTCTACAACATATCTCCATACTTATCACAAGCTTCTGATTTTCTTTCACAGAATAATCCAATCTGTCGACGTTTGTGGTGTACTAACGAAAATGACAAACACACTGGATGTCGAACAAAGCACATGCCTTGGGCTGATGGAACTCGATGTTCAGCTGAGCGGGTACTTTTCTTGTTGTTGTTGATACATGTAGATGATTTTTCAAACTAAAATTTTTCTGTATTATTTTTTTCTTCGAACAAACAAATATTTTTCCTCTTTCAGTCTTTAAGATTGTTGGTGATAGTCTTATTGTGTTTTGTATCAAAACAAATTGTGTACTGCCTAACAAGTATGACCTTATAAATGGATTGCTGTTAGATTTAAAAACAGCCCTTTTAATTGTATACCTTCACTTGGAGACTATATTTGATTTTCATACACTTATGCTTAGTGTGATTTTGAAGGCCTTGTGCTGTTTAGTGTAGACTATATTTGTGTAGAGCTCTGAGTGAATTTGGCATGCGCTTTGCCGTCTATTTTTAGTAATTATAACTAAAAGTACATGCGCACCTCCAAATGTTTCTTTACTTACTTACAACATCAAAGTGAGAAGTGTCTGCTTAGTAAATATGTGTACAAATGTAGGTAATGGGGCATCTCTAAGTTGCTAAGATAGTAGACTGGGAGATTGGGGGGTTTCTATCTGCCATAATTTTTTAAGGTAGCTTACAGTAGGCCTACATGCAGTTTTTACAGTTTTACAGGAGAGCCAAACACCCCCCCGGAAAGATGTCACGGAGATAACAAGCTCTTTTGCAAACATCCCAAGTCAATGTTTAAAAAAATGCAACTTTGTTAATAACTTCCTTATTTCCTGTAAAGAAAATGATGATTTCTTTATACAACATTCAGTTTTTTGCTCTCCTGTAAAACCTGAACAGTTGATGGGTGCTCTTGGGTGGTCAGCTCCTTCTACTTGACTTTTAGTCTGGTCCCTATAAAGAGGTAGCCATGATAAGCTGACTTGCTGGAAACTATACAACTCAGCAAAAACTCATCATTGGAAAAAGCTGAACGTTTTTCTTCCTTTGGTAATCAAAAGGTTTCGAGTGACTTTTGTTTCTTTTATGATGCGGTAGGTGTGTGTTGAGGGGGAGTGCGTGCCAACTCCAGATCCAAAGCCGAAGGTTGTGAATGGAGGCTGGGGCTTGTGGAGGGCTTATGGCCCATGTTCCCGGACCTGTGGAGGAGGGGTGAAGATGAAGTACAGAGAGTGCAAAAACCCTGTGTGAGTTGGGATTTCTCTACAGTTGGTGGCCAAATTGTGTTATAATATTTAGTTGTTGTTGTTGTTGTTATCGATCCAGCAACATCTGGGCTCTCGCCCTTCTGTCCAATGCCATGTAGTGATAAGTGCAGGTTTGCTGCAGTTGCTGTAACGTTCCGTAGAATGTGTTGTCGAAGTTAGGTCTCGGAGGGAGAAGTGTTGCTCTGATGTCATTTAGGGCTGTACAGTGGAAAAGGTGATGTTCCACTGTCTCATATGCATAATCACACAAAGGACACATTGGGGGAAGTTCTGGATAATATTTAGTCAGATGCTTTGAACTGAAGGGAATGTGTTACTTTTTAAATGAAAAAACCCCAAAACAAAATGACTTTTCAAAATAAGAGCTGTATGAGTTTGTTTACTTTATGATGAAAGAATTTAGCAGTTTTATTTTTTCACTTTGCTCTTCAGAGATGGGAAAGTCACACAACAAACAATATATTTTTATCTGTCATTTCTACTGAACCCCTCTATGGTGATTAAAAAAGATAAGTTAAAAGAGGGCTTGGTGGCTGGGATGTTACTGGGAGAAAGAAATAGGAAACTGTTGGCTGAGTAAAAAAAAATAATAAAGGTAATAAGTATCATGTCTTCACACAAATGGATTAAGTTATTCCCAGATGGAGATCTACAAAGTCTTTCTCTGATAACAGAGTCAAGAAATGAAAATAGAAACATGTGTATATATAGAAACAGACGATAATATTTTAAAGTAAACAACTGACTGTGTCGTCAAATATATATACAAACAGCTGTAAAGTGCAGATCAAATGGCTGCCCACCTAGCGTGCCGACTATTCAGGAACAAATGGCCAGTGTGCTCTAGAGCACGATGATGTAATCAGTGTTTATGTTGATATGATCTGGTTTTCCTGTAAGAGATAAATAAAGCTCCCGCATTCACAACTGTTGAAAGGGGAGGAAATTTGTTCTGGTGCTCATTCCTTGTTCAGATTTACAACCCCTGAAATGATCTGTGTTGACAATATACAGATTTTTTTTTTTTAAAAGAAAAAATCTGTTTTAGGGAATTTGGGGTCAGGAAGATTAAATTTCTAAAACTAGAACATGAAGACATCAAGGAGTGATGACAAATCTCACTTCTTAAGTTAAGTAAAGTGTTCATGTAAAGGGAGACAAGGTAATGACACCCACGCAGATAGAGATGTAAATAGGAGGGACTTGTGCTCTCTCTTGAGTTGCACTGATAAGTAGTGAAGATTTTCTGGAGTGAGCTTTCCTTGAGTCAGCTCTTCATGTCGGGAGTGATACGAAAATTTGGAGTGAATTTATTATGCGAGATATTGTGTCATCATGTATATATTTAAAAAAAATACATTTTCAAGCTTGATGACACAGCAGGAAAAAAGCTTGTCAATATTCTTGTTTTTGTTTGTTTGTTTTTGTAAGTGTTTTACGGTGCTCGCAACTGCATAAGGTCATATGAGCGCGCGGGACACACTAAACTTTTTCAGTTGGTAGGAAATTTTGAATTTTGCCCGGGTGGCGGCCGAAGCCTACTCTTATCGATTTTAGACCACCAAGGGATCTTTAACGTGCACAACTTGCACACGGGACCTCCGAGATTTTTCGCCCTTGTCCGAGAAGGCTAGGTGTAGATCTTTCCTACCAGAAGATCAGGGGTGTGGCTGAAAGACAGCAGTAAGAAGAAGCCAATGAGTAGCAGTAGGAAGGCTGCAGAAAGAATCAGGAGCCCTGAGGAGGGGGCAAAGGAGGTGAAGGGGTGGGGGGCAGAAAGAGGAGATGAAAGCAGACGACAGAACATTGCTAGAGAGTAGGAAAGGAGGTGAAAGGAGACAAATTTAGAGAAGAAAATTTTTTGGTCGCTACCCGGATTCGAACCCGGGACCTTTGAATGAGAGGCGAACACCTTAACCTCTAGGCCACGAGAGCCCCCTCAATATTTTTCTTTTTTTTTTTAGGTCCTGCTGGTTTATCTACAAAGAAATTGGTTACTATAAAATTAATGATAAGAACACTTTTATAATGACACTACACAGATATATTGTTTACAAAGGCAGACAATGCTAAAATGAACCAGAATATTGAAACTGACCTTGGACATTTCATTTGAAAAGTACAAGTATGTAGATGTTTGGATACTAACGTACACGAGGTATTTATTTGTTAGCAATGATAGTCTTGGTGCTGGTAGAGACTCTTGAACTTATTAAATAGGCTGTTCATTTTTATAGTTGGACCTTGTCCTCTCAGAGCAGTATGAAATAAAAATAAAAGCACTGATCCTGTCTGTGTCCTCAGTCCTGAGAACGGTGGTCGCTACTGTCTGGGGCCTCGAGTGCGCTACAAATCTTGCAACATCAAGGTGAGGAAATGTGCTGTGAATAGGAGACTCAAGATACAATTACCATTTTGTTTTTGATATAGTAGTAAGAGGGAACTCATGATATCTCTTTTTGGAGCAATGTCAGTAGTGTAATGGGAAGAACAAATTATGATAGTTGTCTTAATGATTTCCTGTTTTCCTTTTTTTTAGAGGAAAATCATGCAAAAAGAAAGCTACAAAAGCCTTCCTAAACTGATATGTGAGATGGAAACGAAGTTAAGAAATGAAGCCTCAAAAGAAATATATAAAAGACAAAATCACATCTATCCCCTGTGACAACGTTCGCTACCACCATATTGGATGACGTACCATTTTTCCAGATTATTACAAATATATCCAGTGATATGACATAATGATCCTTTTTTTGTGCTCAAATTTTGAATTGCAACAGTGACATCGATGGTATCGTTTTCAAGTACTGTTTTTTTCTTACGACTAAGCATTGTTCAAATTTTGGCGTTTAGAAATACATGTCTTTTTCAAATTGAACATAAGACTTTATTTTTATTTTTGTCCTTTACAAACAGGCATGTCCAGTGGACAGCCGTGACTTCCGAGAGGTGCAGTGTGACAGTGAGGAGATGAAGAGAAAATTCAGGTTCCGTGATCTGCCACAGAACACCACTTGGAAACCCAAGTACACTGGAGGTATTAAATAGAAAACAGTAGAGATATCTCTCTCTCTCTCTCTCTCTCTCTCTCTCTCTCTCTCTCTCTCTCTCTCTCTCTCTCTCTCTCTCTCTCTCTCTCTCTCTCTCTCTGCATCATGCTTGAGTCTTTTGTCAGAGAAAAGACTTCTCATGTATTTTTAGAAATTTAGGTTTAGAAACAAAAATAGAAGCCCAAGAAGGCCTATCAATGGAGGTGTGAAATAGAAAGGGTTCTCCATGATACACTTTTGTCTTTTGTTGAAAGAGAGGAGCCCAGTGAGGTGTTACCCTTTTGTTGTTGGACCAGCTAAAAGCTTTTTACTGTGTGGTCAGTTTCAGATAACAGAGCCTCCCAATTTAGTTTATCATATATCATGCTCCCTTTTCAAAATGTACCTTTAAAGAATTATGCAACTTATTAACATTGAAATGTCCACATTAATAAAACATACGAATTTGGAAATCTTTTTCCTCTCCCAAAAGTAAGTTATGGTAAGGCCATATGAAATGAAACACCCTGATGGACTCATTTAAGTGGTCACAGAGCTATTCTAATTTTTTCCTTGTATTTTACAATTTACTTTTTCTCAAGACCTTTATAAATTATATTGGTGGCTGTGCTTTTGAAATGTCTAATGTTCTAAATTTGTCTCTGTGCAGTGCACATGAAGGATGCTTGTAAGCTGTACTGCAGTGCAGGAAACAGTTCCACCTACTTCCAGTTCTCCAAAAAAGTCATTGATGGAACCAAGTGTGGCCCTTTCACTGACGATGTTTGTGTCAATGGACAGTGCTGGGTGTGTACTCTCATTACTTTCCTTGGTGTTGATGATAACAAAAGTGAAGAGAAGAGGGCAAGATTCAATTATTCAATCTAAACTAAAAAATAGTCATGTTATCACATGTTTAATGTTTACAAAACAAGTAATATCAACAATTTTGAATTGTTTGCTTTTATTTGTCCAAACTTTAATATGACCTCCTGACTGTATCTCACCCAGATATCTTTTATTTTGTGGTCAGTCTTTATAACTTATAAGACAATGGCTTTTAAATAGGTTGCTGTTGGATACATGACATTGGAAATTCAAAACAGCTTTTTTTTTCTGAACTGCACTATGATATATTTCTTGCTTTGTCATGTCCAATCTTGAGGGCCAGGCAGATCATGTTTTTTTTCTGTTGCCTTTACTTAAGAGAAGAGGGAGGAGGCACCTTGATGCCTTTTGTCTTAATAATGAGAGCTTGTCTCCTCGAGTTCTTTCCACAAATAAGAGATATTATATATAAGTTAGTATTCTTGTACAGCCATGTAAGCGTTAATCTAGCTTTTTTAAAAACACTTTTTTGTTTTGAGAGTATGGTGTGCCAAGAGTATTTTGGTGTTTTTGTAAAATCTTTTGTATGGCATAGCTCACTGATGGTTTATTTGTTCACAGCATGTTGGCTGTGACAACAGACTAGGTTCCACAGTGAAGAGAGATCGCTGTGGCATATGTGGTGGAGACAACTTCACTTGTCGCACAGTCACTGGCATGTTCAACAATGCCATCTATGGTAAAAACCTTGCACGATCATCATCATCTCTATATTTCTCTCTCTTTAACAAAAAAAAGTATTTTTTTGTCTTATCCTTTCGTCCCCTCTAATTACCCTGCCATTGTAAATACAGTTGAACTTGTTCAAAAGATCACATGTCCAATACAATAGTCTGTAAAAATGACCACTTCCCCTCGCATTTTTTGTATGCTATAATGAGACTGTTCAAGGGGGCCAACTGTCTAAGATGGCCACTTTTGTCCTTGACAAGGGGTGGTTGTCTTTCACACGTTTTACTGTAGTGTCTTTTAATTTAAAAAGGATGTGATTTTTTATGTAACTAAAGTAGCTCCATTTCCCTTGTTACTGTCATTCATCAACTTCGACTAATGGTGACAGTAGCTGGTTGGAGGGTGTCGGTGGTAGCTTCTGTTTTTATATCATGCCTTTGCTGCTTCTGTTTGTCTGTTTTACGAATAGCAATAGTGTGTACAAAATGCCTGACCGTGATGTCTGCAAAAAAGAATAAAGCACTAGCAGTCCTATTGCAGATTACAGATGGAAAGATCTTTAGATTTCCCAAGTAACAAATACCTTCCTGACCTCTTATTTGGCCCCTTTTGTTGTATATTCTTTGTTCTAGATTTGAAATTCCCCTTTGACCCCTTTAGTTGTATATTCTTTGTTCTAGATTTGAAATTCCCCTTTGACCCCTTTAGTTGTATATTCTTTGTTCTAGATTTGAAATTCCCCTTTGACCCCTTTAGTTGTATATTCTTTGTTCTAGATTTGAAATTCAGCAGATATTGTGTAAGTGCTGTGAAGTGCTGACAAAATTTGCTTCAACTAGGAATATGTTCACTGTGATATCTTGACATCATGTTTCAGGCTACAACTATGTGGGGACCATCCCCGCTGGAGCCACAGAGATTGACATCCGACAGTATGGCCAGGTCAGACATGTCAAGGATGATGACAACTATCTGGGTAAGTTCTGTTTAAGTGGCGTTGGTGGCCAGGCTCTCAGACTCGCAACCGTAAGGTTGTGGGTTCAATTCCCATCAGGGGCCTGACATTGTGTCCTCAGGAAAGGCATTTTACACGAATTTTCTTCACTTCACTCAGGTGGAAATGTGTGCCTGACTATATACAGTGAAATATCTTGTCAGTTGGTTAGTGTTTGAGCGCATGAAATCCACAGCTTGCGCTGTATGCTTTCCGGGAAGCCGAGAATGATTCTGAGTGTTCTCAGAGGGTCTGCTAGGGTAATAATAGTTGTAAAACACGTAGAGCATGTTGTAGAATGTAGACAATAAACATGTGCTAGATAAATGCAGTTATCATTATTATTATTATTAGTATGAAGTAGCTTCACACTGTGCCGCAGATGGTTTTCAAACTTGACAAACACTCAGAAATTTGGCTCTTCCCTGTGGGGTTGGAATGGTATTTGGGTCTCTTACTTGTTGGATATTTCGTTTATGTGTAATGTTTTGACAAAGGTCCATGTGTTCCTCCCTTGAAATGTTGTGCAATGAGCCTAATTTGAATGAAACTGATTGGATGTCTGGGAAGTATTTCAATGTGTTCCTGTAGTTTTTATCATTTTTGCAATATCTTCTTGATTTATTCAAATGGAGCTGTAATTGTTGTAAGAAATAAAATGCAGCAACACAAAAATATGTTGGTATTATTTAATGTCATTATTGTGAAGGAACTTAGTTTGTGTCAAATTAGCCAGGTTGCAGCTCCCATACACGTCTTACTGCAAGTACTTGAATGCATGATCACAGTGAAGATGAAAAATGTGATCACCACACTTGAAAAGCCTGAACAATGCTATGAAGACTTAGTTTGAAGCAAGTTGTTCTTCCGTAACACCTTTGTCCGATTGTTTAATAACTATATTATTAAGAACCATGTTTCTTTTCCAACAAATTGAGTAACATCAAGTTATCGTTCACAGCTCTTCAAAATTCTGAGGACAAGTACATCTTAAATGGTGACTACACTGTTCGCACTGAACCTTGGAAGATCAAAGTTCGTGGGGCACTCATTGAGTACACTGGCTCAGAGGAACATGTGGAGAGAATTAACACCACCATGATGATCGAGGAGAGTATCAACATCTTTGTGAGTCAATGTTTCACAGTCATATCTCTTTCTTTCTTTCTTTCGTTTTTTCTTTCTTTCTCTTTCTTTCTTTCTTCATTTTTGAAATATCATTCTGTTAAAATTTTGTAGAAGAGGGGGTTTATCCTGCAGCGAGCAGTGTTTACTTTCCTACACAGCTGTAGTGTGTTTAGTTGGTGGGTAATTCAGTGTGATTTGCTCCTCCTCATGCTGCTTTTTAGTGTTTCTGATTTTGTTAGCTCTCCCTGACAGACTGTTTCCATTGCATCACTGAATTTCTGTCTTACTAAAAAAAAAAGAAAAAAAAAAAGTGAGTTGATGCAGAAGAATTATTCTTCCTTTCTCCTGACCAGGTCTTGTCGGTTGGAAAGCTGAACCCACCCAACATCACTTATTCCTACATGGTGTCTGTGAGGCAGAATGTGCAGTGGAAGAATCAGGGCTGGACCAAGTGCAGTGCCATCTGTAACGGTGAGGAGAACTGGTGGCATGTTGGTGTGTAATATGTTGTGATGACAATGACATGAGTTCAATATATGGTGTGAAAGGGATATAACTGTGCCAAAGGGACACGTCTTTTTTTGTATGGGAATTATTTGAGGTGCGCATACGCACATACATCAATATAGGATGCAAGAGTGTCTGAATTTCAGATGTCTTTGTAAAGAATCAAATCGAGACCATCATTCTTTGACCAAGGGATGTAACTGTGTCATAAAATTCTCAGGGAAAAAATGGATATGGACTGGGGTCTCTTCACCAATGAGTTTTTTTCTTATGTTTGAGTAGTATTTATTACTCGATATAATCCCACTGCCTCTTCTTGCCCATTAACCATGAACTTGTTAGCGAAACACAGCCATGGTAAGGTGCTTTGCAGTAATATTATGTCCTGCTCCTCCAAGCGTTTCTTCTTTCAGCAGGTGGTTGATGGGAGCTGTTATGGTCTACTCCTTGTAACATTCAATGCCTCTTTTTTTCTTTTATCTGCTTCTTAACGACATATAGCCTTAATCTTAAGCACTCTCCATGGGTTTAACTGGATGAAATGTATGGCCTTCTATTACTGGTTGTGACCTAAGAGTTGGCTTATATCCTCTCACTGACCTCTTTACTCACCCCCATATCCCAATGTGTGTAGGTGAAAGGCGTGGTAAGATCCAGTGCATCCGGGAAAATGACAACCTGATTGTGTCCAACAAGAGATGCAAGGGACTGCAGAAGCCGAGCAGACTCACTGAACGATGTAACTTGGACTGTAAAGTGAGGTATGTAATGACTCAGGGCTTTTGAGGAAAAGTAGCGGCCAAAATCATTCACAGTATGAACAAATTTGATGATGTCACAAGGCCTTTTTTCCCATTGTAGAAGGATGTTCTTTTAGAATGGTAACCCCTCCTGATAATGTACAAAAAGATGGGAGGAGACTCTACAGAAGCCATCTGGTTGCATACTATTTTTCTTAAGTCTGAGATAAAGGAAATAAAAAAGAAATGTGCTGATGTAACTGCATTTTAGTACAAACTTGCAGTTGCCCATTTTAGAGGATGAATTAGGTAGACGTATTGTTTTTTAAAAGTCTCTGTCTTATCTTTCTTTTTGTGTAGCTGGCGCATCTTCAGCAAAGAAGAGTGCCCAAAGCGGTGTGGCACAGGCATGCGACGCCAGTTGGTTCACTGCATCAAGCAGACAGGCTATAAGAATGCTCAGATCATCAATGACAAAGAATGCAGGGCTGTGTATGGGGCAAAGCCAGATGAGTTTGTGCCGTGTCAGGGACGTTGTCTTCCTACTTTCTGGAGCTACACAGACTGGTCAACAGTGAGTTTTTGTATGGACACTCGTCTTTTGGGGGCAAAGGACTGTCTGGGACTCATTAGTTTTGGGGGACCCCTTTGGAATTCATCTTTTGATGATTATAAATATGATGAAGGTTTTGTACTTTAGTATCTTTGTCATTGTCTTAATTTATTTTAAAAAATACAGAAATTAGTGCTCTTGGCCAAAGCACAATTAATTTGGTCAAGAGGCAGCAACGTGCAGTCCGAGTCTGAGTGGGGTCTGAATTTTTTTTTGTCCTTCCAGAAAAGCAAACTTGTTACCTCAGCTGTGCCTCCTGAAAAGGAGTCATTTTGTTCTTTCTTTGCCGTGACATCAATTTTGTTTGGTGTCGGTTCACGTTCAATGAAGATATGAAAAAAAGGAGAGAAGCAAATGGGAGTCATTGAACAGTTATTCCTGTTTGAGTTAAAGTTTTAGGTTTTAGATGCTTTGGCTGGTGGTTTTTTTAAAATGATAGATTTACAACACCCTATGCTAATCCGTAGGCATGCAGAAAGTTAAAAGGAGTAGAACTGGAAGTCGGTGGCCTAGTGGTTAGGCTCTCGGACTCGCAACCGTAAGGTCGTGGGTTCGAATCCCGTCAAGGGCCCGACGTTGTGTCCTTGGGAAAGGCACTTTACACGAATTTTCCTCACTTCACCCAGGTGGGAATGGGTACCCGGCTATAGACAGCGAAAGATCTTGTCAGTTTGTTAGTGTTTGAGCGCTTAATCGGCTGCTTGCACTGTATGCTTCCCGGGAAGCTGAGAATGTTTCGGAGTGTTCTATGGTCTGCTGGGGTAATAATATAGTGTAAAGCGCATAGAGCCTGCTGCTGAGCGGGGATATGCGCTATACAAATGCTATCTATTATCTATTATTATTACTATTATTTATTTATGGTGATGGTATTTTTTAAATTGTTGTATTAGAGTCATACACTTGGAAAACTTGTGAGTGGTAATATTTGCTTGTTGTCTATGTTTCAAAGTATTTTGACACGTTTTCTTTTTGAAACTGGAAGTTTGACTGTAATAAGTGCATCAGTAAAGTGACGGATGTTCTCTTTGTGCTTTGTGCAGTGTTCCCGAAGCTGTGGCAATGGCATTCAGGAGCGGCAGGCTAAGTGCGTGGACGAGTCGGGCAAGGAGCTGGAAAACAGTGAGTGTGACGACAAGGACAAGAACACCTCCCGACACTGCAGCCTGGGCCCTTGTGCTGAGTGGACCACCGGACACTGGCAGGGGGTGAGCAAGCCCCTCGTTTTAGTGTCATTTTAGCTGAAAATAAGGAGATAATGGGTGGTTGGCGGATGACCTGGTGTGGTTTGCTCCTTTTTCCCCTATCAAAATTATACCATCCTTTTCTCTCCTGATTCTTTTCTTTATACGTTACTCTTTAGTAACACGTCTAATCTTTGGCACTTATATGACCTTCTTGTGTTGCAAGTGCTGTGAAACTCTTACTAAAAGTAAGACATAAGAAATTGAATTTTTTTGTTGGTAGTTTGAACTTTTCACAAACAAAACATTTGTGTTTCTGATTGCTAGTGCTCCGTGACATGTGGCAGTGGTCATAAGCTGCGCAAGGTGTGGTGCATGCGCAATGGGGAAAAAGTGGACGACTCGGTGTGCAGCAAAAAGAAGCCAGCCACACAGAAAGAGTGTCATCTCAAGAGCTGCCCTGAATGGTACACTGGCGGATGGGGGCCTGTGAGTATACAATCTTTATATATATATATATGTGTGTGTGTGTGTTTGTGTGTGTGTGTGTGTGTGTGTGTGTGTGTGTGTGTGTGTGTGTGTGTGTGATTTTGTGTGCATTGTTTCAAAAATAGCCCAGAGTGGGTATGGATCTCCGCAAAATTGTTTCTGACTTCAGTAGTTTGTAGAGTTTTATGTCTTTTCATTTAATGTTGTCAGACACAGATGTTAACCTAAAGTCCCACCTCTTGAATGACCTCCTCTGTGTTGAAAATGCCTTTGAAATTCCAATTCAAGTAAACCCCCTGTTTTCCCTTCCACCTAGTGCTCCGTGACTTGTGGCAAAGGCATCAGTATGCGGGCGGTCAAATGTCGTGTCAGTGGCAGTTTCCAGGAGGATTCTGTCTGCGATGCTGGCATGCGGCCCCAGGACAAGAGAAGTTGCTTCATCGGAGCCTGTCCCACCACCCCGCCACAGACCACAGTGCGGCTCAACACTGTGCCCAATGCCGCCTACTGGAGATATGGCAGCTGGACTGAGGTGAGCTGCAAGTTTAAAGTTATAGTCTAATTTCCCAAAGATTGAAAGCTCATCAACTTCCTTTACTAGTCTATTGCAATCGAACATGGATAATTCAAACACGTCGAGGATTGACAATGTGTTTAACAGATCTATAATTTGGGTTAACCGATGCGAAAAATGTAAAAGATATTAGTTGGGGAATGGCAACTTGTATAAACTATCCATGATTTTAATTTTTCGTGTTTTGTTTATCTGTATCCAACTGAATTTCTAATTTTCTGTCTCAGTTTCCCGAGATGATATACCAAATTTTTGTCTGTTTTAGCTCTCAAATGCAGTCTTTTGCAGTATAAAGAACTGCCATTCTCTGAAGACTTGTTGAAAGGAGAAGCAGTCCTAATTAAAAAAAATAAATCAGCAAAATTACTCGTATTCATCGAATGTTTGCTCTCCTTAGAAAAAGGCAAAATAGGCAGAGATACGCCCAATAGCAATTCATTAAAAGAACGTCAATGATAGAAGGCCAGGATAATACACTGTATTTTGTCCCTCAAGCAAAGTCTACTCTTCTGCTCCCGTAGATTTGTCATCTGTTGGGTCGCCTCTGACAAGTGACAACAAATCTGCTCCACTCTTCTCAGCTCTCTGCTTTCCTCAGTGTGCCCCACAGCTCCATGGCTGTCCATTCTTGGATGTTATCCTCCCATCTCTTTTCTGTCTGCCTCTCCTTCGTCCTCCCTGCACAGTGCCTTGTGTAATAAGTTTGTACTACTACCACATTAAACACATAACACATCCCCCTCCCTGGATTCGAGAAACATGCAGTATTTTTTGTGTGCATGTTTTTAAAAAATAGCTTTTGTGCTTTTTAAATCATCATCATTGCCTTTGTCACCCTGCACCAGGGTATAGGCCACGGACAAATACCCTCCACTTTTCTCTATCCTGGGCTAGCCTCTTGATGTTATTCCATGTCTTCCCACTTTTCTGTACATCGATTTCTGTGATTCTTGTGATTCTTCTCCAAGTTCCACGAGGTCTTCCCCTTGATCTCTTGCCCTGTGGGTTCCAATCCAAAACTTTCTTTGTTATGCAGCTGCCTGACTTCCTGAGAATATGCCCAGTCCATCGCCACCACCTTCTTTTTAAATGCTCTTTGAATAAAATCCCAAAGGGACTATTACTCACCCTTTCACTTTTCCCCTCTGCAGTGCTCTGCAACCTGTGGTCCAGGCAACAAGCACCGATATGTGAGCTGTATGGACTACAATAACAACCACATCAACGACAGCGAGTGCTCCCACCTGGCACAGCCCACCAAGATGGAGACCTGTATGCTGAAGCCTTGTGGAGACTGGAGGCAGGGCGAGTGGAGCGATGTGAGTGCAGCATGTTTGTGTGTGTGTGTGTGTGTGTGTGTGTGTGTGTGTGTGTGTGTGTGTGCGTGTGTGCGTGCATGCATGTGTGTGTGTGTGTGTGTGTGTGCGTGTGTGGGTGTGTGCATGCATGCATGCGCGCGCGCGCGCGCGCGCGTGTGTGTGTGTATGTGTCTATGTGTGTGTGTGTGTATGTGTCTATGTGTGTGTGTGTGTATGTGTGTGTCTATGTGTTTGTGTGTGTGTGTCTATATGTGTGTGTGTGTGTGTGTGTATGTGTGTTTGTGTGTGTGTGTGCATGTGGGCGTACGGGTGTCTGGGCATACATGTGACAGAGTGTTCAGACGTTGTCACTGTTGTTGTTTTATCGTAATGTCCTCCCAAAGGCAGTGTAGGTAATTTTGAAGGGGGTCCACTTGAGGCTTCTATCATGATAGGTGCTCTTTCCTCAGTGCCGTAATCAGAAAGTACAATACTGAACCTTTTATGGTTTCATTTATTATCATTACTAAAATTTTGTTTTATATGCCAATATTGGGGAGATTTGTAAGTGAAGAAATGGCTGTTCCTTAATATGAAGTCGAGGGTTTCATCTTTTCTGGCTGGTAGTGGTGCATGGTATAAATATTGAATGAAGGAACCACACTAAAGACCCTATACAGATACTGATTAGCTTTTCCTATTGCTTATATTGACAGGTTGAAAAAATTGGGGCAAATATAAAATTAGCCATACTGGAAATTAGACACTTGATTTTTGTCTCTCAAGGACTCTAGGAAAGCTAGTCTTGCTTTGATGGACAATCTCTGATCTCTCACATCAAATATGTATGTGGGTGGTTGGCGGGTGCTCTGGTGTGGTTTGCTTCTTCTTTCCTATCAAACATCTATCGTCCTTATCTCCCCTTCTTCTTTTTTATGTTTGTTACTCTCTTGTAACACCTCTAATCTTCTGGCGCTCAAATGACCTTATGCAGTTGCGAGCGCCGTAAAACCTCTACGAAAACAAAACGAATATGTATGAACATTATTTTAGTCCAATGTGTTGTATTATATTGATTTTTATATTCTCATTGCGTTCCTTACTGTATTTCCTTTCAGTGTACTGTGACCTGCGGTGAGGGCATCCAGACAAGGTTTGTGGTGTGTACCTTCAACCAACAGCGCCAGGATGACCGGTTCTGTGATGTGACCAGCAGGCCTGAGACGGAGATCCGCTGTAACCGAGGCACTTGTTTGAGCGCAGATGAGCTAAGTGTTGCTGTCATCACCAGCAATAAGGTTGTGGGCACCAGTCACTGGAGGATTGGATCCTGGACTCATGTAAGTCTGTGTGTTGGTGTGTGTGTGTGTGTGTGGGGGGGGGTGTATATGTGTGTGTGTGTATATGTGTGTGTATATATGTGTTTGTTTGTGTGTGTGTATGTGTGTGTGCATCTTTGTTTGTATCTTTGTGTGCATCTGTGGTGCATGCTTGTGTGCGCACAGGATTAAATCCTCGTATTTCTTTTTATTGTTACAGTTTTCCTAATCATTTCTGAAAAAAATATAAAACATTTACTCAGCACCTCATCTCCATGTATACAGACATATGGCTAGCAAAGACTCAAAAGTTTTTCTCTTGCTGTTCCTCCATAGTGTTCCAGCACGTGTGGCACGGGCTGGGAGCGACGTCATGTCATGTGTCGTGACGAACGTGGCGCCAGTGATGAGTGTGATAAGTCTCAGAAACCTGATGAGTTCCGCACTTGTGACAGCGGGGAGTGCCCCTCCTGGCTCACTGAGGATTGGGGAAATGTGAGTGTTTCCATTGTTTCTAGTATTCCCCTTGTCTTTAGATTTCAGAACTGTTATATTGTATCAGACTGGATCATCTGATAGTGCTATTTGTATTTCATGGATGTGTGCTTGCATTTCTTTTTCTTCAGATTTTGAGTCTTTATTCATTTTTTTGCAGTGATGTCAATAGATAAAATTTACATTTTGTGCGCTTGTTGATTTAGGGATTTTTCTTTATGGTTGTCCTCATGGTTTTTTTTTAAAGGTTTAATGCCCTTTTCAATTGTATCCAGCAATTTAAGACCAGGAGGAGAGACCCTAAATTTGATGCCCATCTCCGAAAAGACCAAGCCAGGTGGGCAGATAGCCTTGAAGATTTCCGATCAGGCCAAGTAAAAAAATGTTTGATAGAAGAATGGAATCAGGGTCCTTTGTACTGTAGAGTAATACTGATAAAGGGAATAATATGCCCATAAAGACTGTGGCTTTGATAAGGCTTGTTCAAGGGTAGTGTATGTATATAACTTCATAATTTAATTGATATTAGTATTAATAGCACGAAACTTAAAAAGTAAAACATGTTTTATGTTCCATTCCTAAATCAGTGCACTGCTAAGGATTGCGGCATGGATGGAGTTCAAACACGGGTAGTGGCTTGTCGTCTGTCCACGGGTGAAGTCCTGGCTAACTCTAACTGTGACAGCCGTGACAGACCCTCAGACACACAGCAATGCAAAGGAAAATGTGGTGGAAAAGGAGGGACTGAGGTGAGGGCAGAGGCCAAAACAACAGCAAGAGGAGTCACAAACCGCAGCACATGGCACAGGGGACAATGGTCAACGGTAAGAATGTTTTCATGTAGCGCTGTTCAAAGATATAAAACTGTAGTAATATAACATAAATCTTACTAACTCTCTTTAATTTTTTTCAGTGTAGTATTAGTTTCATGCTGTAGATATTTTTGTTTGCGTTTTTTTATGTACCTTGAGTTTTCTTGATAAAGATTTTTTGCCTATCAATTACCCAGTTTATAGATTTTATCTGTTTTTTAAAATGATGTTGTGATAATCATAAGCTTATCTTATGTAAGCTAAAGAAACTGTTTATTGTTAAGAATGTAGATTTATAAGATGATACTGGCTTATAAATGTTGCCTGTTTTGTAAGAATGACAGAGTTTGTTGTTTTATTTTCATATCTGTAATTTTAGTCTAGTTAGATTATATTTATTAAGATAAAAAAGTTTGGTTAGATTTTGTCTGGTGGACATTTCTTGTCTGTCTCCAGTATGATTATATGAAACGTGTATACATGCTCAGATAACGAAAAGAAATGAATAATACGGTTGTTTTCCGTGAATATATCTCTGTCTCCATAGAAAAAACTTATGGTAATTTTTGTTATATCTCACAAGTTAACAATTAGGATTATCACCCTTATTTGATAAATGTGTTTGTGATTTTTTACTTTATATTACTTATGTGGTTAGGAGAAACGTAAGAATGACCCCAACTAGCATACTGTCTATCTCAAGACTGTTGCACTATGCTTTAAACATTTGTGGCCTCCTCCAGTGCTCGGTGACCTGTGGTCAAGGTGTCCGCAGTCGTGTTGTGACCTGTGTGGATGATGCTGGCGTGGAAGTTGGCTATGAACATTGCAAGAAGAAAAAGCCCCGCAACATGAAACGCTGTTCTAAAGGTCCTTGCCCTAAGTGGTACCCAGGAAAGTGGAGCCGGGTAAGATATCAATGCTTGAATGTTTAGAATGAAATTAAAATGACAGTTTATTGTCGTTTTCTCCCTTCTGATCAAAGACTCCAACGCTTTTGTGAGAATTACCGTTACTGGCATGTTGACTTAATCTCATTTTCTGGTGGACGTACTTGACTGCAGGCTGTGATGTTCTTTCTATAGTTGTTCCCAGTATTGTTACATTTCTGCTTAATAATGGCTCATTTAAATAATTTATTCTCGACTATTGATTAAGGATTGGCATGGTCAGTAACAAAAGATTTGTAGAATAACCTACAACTGATATATTTTAGCAAATAACTCAATGTGATCATTAATGCTAGCTCTCTCTTATCCCACTAGTTTCAACAAACATTCTATTTCTGTTTCATTGGTTTGTTTTTAACAGTACGAAAGAATTTTCTAAACAGTCTCAACATAGTCACTAACATGTTCAGTACACAAAAACCAGTGATCAAAAGTACAGTATAGTGCCTTGACAAACATTTCTCTGGGAATACTTGATATGACACCTTGTATTCTGTCCCTGAGTTCATCAATGTCTTTAACTTTTTGCTTCCACACCAGTGTTAACATAATTTTAAGTCACCTTGTATAATATATTTGTTGTTGCAGTGTTCTGTGACGTGCGGTGAGGGTGAACGCATGAGGCAGGTCCAGTGCCGCGACAAACGACACAAGCTGGTGGATCCGGGCATGTGTGCTCACCACACCAAGCCACAGATGGTCACACAGTGCAGCAGGAAGGAGTGCTCTCTGTATTCCTGGAAGATTGGCACTTGGTCAGAGGTATGTATATGCAGTGCTTGTGGTGTGTCATGGTCAAGGTCTTTGCCATGCACACAAAATGAATTGATCTCTATTGCCACGAAGGAAAGGCTCTCCATAGAGTGTCTCTGTCTTTCTGTTGGTATGTTTTCCACACAACTTGGATAGTTATGATAGACAGGGTGGATGTTTTCTGTCTCCTGAACTATCTAAATTGTGTCTTTGGAAGTGTGAAACATTTGTGACAGATTAGAAAAGCAAGAATTTGTTGCAGAAGGAGTTCATTTTTCCAGATTCACATAGCTCGAGAGTATGAGAGATTTAGAACTTTGTGTTCTATGCCCAGCCTCTTTGTCCTGCTTACTGTATATTATATCGATTGCTGTGTTACAAATGCTTGTTAATTAGAATGGTAAGTTTTTGATACACCTCAATCTTGGTCATGGCCTTAGAGACTATTATAGCTGTTCAACATCATCAAATTAAAGTGGGTGGTTGGCGGGTGCTCTGGTGTGGTTTGTTCCTTCTTTCCTCTAAACAGCTATCGTCCTTATCTCTCCTCCTTCTTTTTTACGTTTGTTGTTACTCTCTTGTAACACCTCTAATCTTCTGCACTTATATGACCTTATTGTGTCGCAAGTGCCGTAAAACTCTTTACTAAAACTAAACTCAAATTTAAAATATAAGGAAGAAGGAGGAGCCCGCTCAAACTGTGGAGAAATATTCAGGAGTAAAAGATATGTTCATATGGAGCCTGTAAAGTGTCTGCTTGAGTGGGAATAGCAAAGAAAGAGATGTTTGGTGAAGTAAGAGAAAGCAAAACCCGAAAAACCAAGGAAGCAAAACTCACCATGTTGAGATTTCAGTCTTTTCATGACAACTCATAATATGTATCTTCTTTCTTTCTTCAGTGCTCTCGCACCTGTGGATTTGGGCGCAAGCATCGGTCAGTGACGTGTGTGGACACTGCTGGCAGCCGTGTGTCCTCACACCTATGCGACACTGACCGCAAGCCAAAGGTGAAGCGGCGGTGCAGCGAGTTCCCGTGTCCTTCCATCTGGAACACCGGAGCGTGGAGTGAGGTCAGTAGGCACTACTTTGACCATTCCCGCTACCGTCAAACTTAACAGATGCAACAGATTTTAAAAGTTTAGTTGCTATCACTGTTGACCGTCTGTGATGGGCCGTGTGCAATAGGAGTATTGGAGGGTCTGAGGTTCCTGCTGTGATCTAAGTTTTGTCTTGCAATTGGTCAAAATGAGGAAGATGCTGAGAAAGAAATTGAGGTCAGAGTGTTCAGTACTGAAATCTCGCTGCTGATCTATATTATTAAATGTGTCAATCATAATTGGCTTTTTTCACAACTTTCTGTGAAAGTGAAGGAAATTTCTGCATCAGCTCTTCATAGACTACCTATTTTGGAGTCTTTTACATCTTGTAGCCCAACTTCATTTTGACTGGTTGCTAATAGAATCTAATTACAGCAGAAGTTGTTGTTCAAGATAGCCACCCTGGGTCGAGGAGAAAAGCAGTTGCCTTAGACAGGTGGACTTTGTGGACAGTTTCATTACAATATAAAGAATGCATGGGGGGAGTAGGAAGTGTTTGTTTGTATAGATGATTGTCTTGGACAGGTGGTTGCTATAGCATGTCTGACTGTATGTAATTTATCATGGAAAGGCTGACACTGGCAGGTTCCACCAAGAATAGTAGAAAGACAAATAAAAGCAAAAAATGATGCTAACAAAAAATGCAAAGAGTGGGAAGGTGAAAGTTTATACACAAGCTAAGCAGAGTTTTATTGAGATCTTTTATAAAGAACTTATTTCTCTTACAGTTTAATGCCCGCTCATATGACCTTATGCAGTTGCAAGTGTCGTAAAACTCTTTCCAATACATTAGAGTTTAAGAGCACATTCTGTAGACAGCTTATCCAGCTTTTCCAGGACCTAGTTTTCCACTATTTACTAAATGATTCCCCGTGAGAGGCTGTCTAGTAAGCACGATCTTTGTTATAAATACCAAACTTTACATGTTGTGGTTGGGCCTAGATCTCATGTTTACTTGTTCGTAGTGTTCTCTCAACTGCTATAAGGGAAGCTCCTCCCTCTTACTGCTTCATTCCTCACTATAGAGGGTTGTTGGTTGTAGGTTCTTCTTCCAAAAGTGCTTCTAATTTAAAGTGATCTAATTTTTTACCAGAACAATATTTTACCAGCTTTTCAGGCAGCCTTGATAGCCATTTGCTGTTGTTGAAAGTACTTGTTATTATTGATACTTACATCAAGGTTGTGTCACTTTAGGATAGAGATTATTTTATTGACTTGGAGTCATGTAGTCAGTCTGGTCAAGTCTACTATTCTTTGATGCAGTTGTGTCAAAAACAGGCACAGGGTGCATTTGGAGCCTTTGATTATGAGGGTTTTTTGTCCTTAGTTGAATTTCTTATGGGAATATGTGAACAGAAAAAAAATGTTCTTTTGCCATGTTGCCACAAACCCAGTTTTGAACCTGGTACTTTGACTAGAGCTATAAGAGAAATAACATGATGTACCAAGTACCCGAGTTATGGTAGAAGGCTAAACAACTACCATATTACTTTAGCTGAAAGTTCTGCAGGCTTATATACTGAGACACACGGCAAAGACACATTCTTTAACTACAGATACAAAAAAACAACTATGGACATATGTGTAGCTTTAACAGTAAAAACAAAATGCTTGAATACATTCTAAATAAGAATAGTCATCTTTTTTAGACAATGACTTCCACATCTTGTTGGCACTTGTGCTTTATTTTGTTTACTTATCTTGTTTGTTATACCAAAGATATGTGTTACTTTTGTTGTTTTAGAGTCCGTATCTGTAGATTTTGTTTTTGGTTTCAGTTTTGTCTACTCTGTTTTAAGGAATTCTGCCTATTTCTAATTTTAAATCTTTCTTTATGGCCTGGAGATCTTTAATGTCATGTGTTTCCAGTGCTATTTGTAGCTTGTTAATTTATAGAAGTTTAATATTCCAGACTAGTGCTGTAAAAGTGTATTGTGCGATACAGTTGTTATTTTCTTTGGTTTTCATTTCTTTATGAAGAAAACACCAGAGTATTTTGTGTTGTTGTTATGTATTCAATGGATATATCTGATGTCAATTTACAATAAACTTTAAGTTCTTCTCAGTTTTGTATATTTTGTTTTTGTATGAATGATTGTGTCCTGTATGTATGATAGCATGCACTACTACAGGGGATGGAAATGATAGAATGATGGTATTGGAATGGGATTAGGGAAGGAGAGAGGGAGAATGATAATGGAGAGGCGGAAAAGGGAAAGAAAAAGAGAGGGAGAGTGAGAGAGAGACGTATATATTGAGAAAACAGGGAGAGAGATGTAGGCTGATGCATTATGTTTTTAGCACTGACTTGATGTATGTTTCTTCTCCTCTGCTGGCAATAAACAATCTCGTTTTTTATTCCTGTAATTCAAATTCACTTTTAAAAAAATATTTGTACCCTGTGAAGGGAGAACTGTAGGAAAGTGACCCTGTACAGATATTTGGTTTTCTTCTTTTCTCTGTATACGGCCCACTACGAAAATTGAAGAGAACCCAGTAATGTCTTTCTTTCGTATCTGAAATTCTATTTCAACAGTAATATAGAAAGACAGCTATAGGCTCCCTTCTTTCCACTCAAAATGCGAAAAGAATGAAATGAAGCAGAAACCCTCCTTTTCCTTTATACAGTTTTGATACACTTTAATACAATGAATTCCGCTTAAGCCAAATTCTGAGGGACAGCCGGGTTTTCTTTGGTTTCGTCAGGTTTTAGGTTTAAAGAGGTTGCTGAAACAGAAGAAAAAGAAATTGGACATTTTATTTTCTCTCAGTTACTTCTGTTTTTGGATTAACGGTCTTTAGTTTAAGCGGATTTCATTGTATATGTAGATCTGGAGTGTTTATTTCTCCCAAAGTTGTTCAGAGGATGGACGATTTTTCCAAAATTACAAGAGTACCAGATTTGGGGCACATTTTGGATGTCTGTCTGATCTCAGTATTGCAAACCTTTTGCAAGATCTGACTTTTATCCTTTGTGTACAAAAATAAAATTGCGGAAGAGAGAATGAGAGAGGGTATAATTCACCAAAAACGTAGTTTCAGTGAAAAATTAGATGTGCTTGGTTTTTGTACAGATGATGCATATCATTATCATTATAGTGACATTTTGTGATTTGCTATAAGAAATTATTGTCCTGTGCAAATGTGTCAGTTCTCTCTCTATATCCTTCTATAGCAGTGAACTTTGAATTATCTTCACCGTAAACTGAAGTGAAGTTAATAGTTTTTCATTTTATGGCAGTACTTGGACACAACATTTAAGAAAATGGCTGGCTTTTCAAAATGGACAAAAAAATTATTAGATTTTGCTGTGCCTTACACATTTTGGTATCATTTATGAATTGACTCTTCCCTTTTATTTACTTCCATCATGTGTCACTTTAAGACTTGTGAAATTGGAGGGGGCCAAAAAGACACTGAGAATTTTACTTCTCATTGGAGCAGCGTACAGAAATGATCCGTAGACTGTCTTCCTCATTGTTTTAAAATGATATAAGATAAGAAAATGTTTTTATTCCTTTGTTTGCACCTGGTTCATTGCCTGCCTGTTCCACTCTTTCTTGCTGAAGGGGAGTGGATCTAATTAAAAGGAGATGGAGATTGAGACTGAAATGAAGATTTTTGAACATCTCTGCACCTCAAGTAGGCCGACTATCAGTGGAATTTCGGCTGCTACAGAAAAAAAAGCTGAAATTTTATACTTTTGACTTACAAAAAGAAACTAAGCTTAACAAATTTTTTAATACACTTGTGCTCTTTTTGTTCAACAATTGATGAAAAAAAAAAAGTGATATATGAATGATGAAATAGGTTTTGCCAAATTTTTCGAAACAAGTTGACTTAAAACAACTGGAATAACCTAAAGTAATTTTGAAGATGATTTTCAGGATGAATAATGAATCACATCGAAAAGATTGTGAGGTCTCTGAGAATGTCTTTGTAGACATCAGTTTCAAGTACAGTTCCGAGTGACAACTTTTTTTTGGGGTAGCCTACTTTTCAAGAGTTTGAAGCGCTTAGATGCTAGTGATACCCTCTTATATATCATGGTATCTCTCAAATTTCTTCCGTAGTGTTCTGCCTCCTGTGGTGAAGGTCGGCAGACAAGGACTGTGGTGTGCCAGGCTGTGACGAAGGAAGGTTGGATCCTGCCTGGAGAGGTGCACTATGGGTGCCGGCCAGAGGAGAGACCTCGGCACACCCGCTACTGCAACTACGGGGACTGTGGTGCTCGCAACCACTGGACTGTTGGGCCATGGGGCGAGGTCAGCTTATCTATTCATTCATTCATTCATTCATTCATTCATTCATTCATTCATTCATTCATTCATTCATTCATTTGTTCATTCATTCGTTCTTTCATTCATTCATTCATTTGTAGGCGTTTCACTTTCTGTTAACAGTTTTTTCTCTCCTGAAAATGCCTGTTAAAATTGAATTGTTTAGGAGTTTATGTTTATTCCAGCACCTTAGTTTTAAACTGTTAAGATGTGCAAAAAATTCATGAAATGGGTTTGGCTTTTACCATAAGGAAACAAGATAACAGCCACATTTTATAATCATAAGAGGTTGGACCACAGTTATTGATTTAAAGATTCTGAAACAGTTTATTCTGCTGCAGCTGTTGCTGCTGTCTGTTGCTTCTGTTGTACATGATGTTACTATTGCTGTTGATCATTTTGAGATTGTTCAGTTTTAGTCCAATTTCTCACTTTGTGTGTCTAGGAGAAAAAGATCTATCTTGCTTGAACCAAATATAAAAAGATAAACAGTATTAGATATGACATAAGTTTCATTTTACACCACGGAACAAATGACATAATATAACATACATGTATGACATGTATGACAATTTTTGATATGCAGTATACTGTATAGGTTTGACTGGCTTTGTTTTTGTCCTTGAGACCCACAAATCTCAGAAAGAGGTTCTATGGGTGGTTAACAAATGATTCCTGTGTTGTTTCAGTGCTCTGTCCCGTGTGGTCATGGCAAGCAGCGACGTCAGGTGATCTGTGTTGACAAGAATGGAGAGAGGACTAAGCGAAGATTTTGTTTCCCCCTGTATCGGCCGATCACAAGAAGGCCTTGCTATAATGGACACTGTAAGTCGACAGCTTTTTTTTTTCTTTGTTGTTTTTGTATTAACTTAAAAAGACATATTAAAATAGAATGTAAGTGTTTTTTACACCCCCATCAAAACATTTTTATTACTCAATCCCAATTTTAACTCCTGGGACACGTTTCATGCTGACTTTGTTTGGTATCATTATGTCATGCTTTCACATTTCTGAAATCTGACCTTTTCTTTTGTTTTTTAAGCTTCATCCCATATTGTCAATACTGTAAATATCCTGGTTATGTACCGTGAAACTGAGATACAATATATTCAGACTCGAAGAAAACTTGGACTCTTCGAAAGGAGAAAGATTCTTCTTTTTTTAAATCAATCAAAATCAACAAAATTACTCGCACTCACTGAACACAGAAATGACCAAACTCTGAATCAAACGAAGTGGCTTGCAGGGTGAACAGTCCCTGCTAATATGGCTTGGAGTATTCTTCTCCTGCAAAGAAGTTTATCTGCTCTATTCCAAGGGACTTTTGTTAATGAGAATTAGTTTAAGGTAGAGGGAGCCAATTCCGTAACTAATTTGTGCTGATGTGTATTGTCAGGTTATGCAAAGTCCTGCCAGGAGTTCAAAGAGATGACTACAATCCGCCGTGATGGAGATTATCAGCTCAAAGTTGGCAATCAGCTGGTCAAGGTTAGTACAAGTCTTTTCTATAAGATTTTCTCATTCAACTTAAAAAAAAAAAATTGCAAACTCTTCATACTATGGGAGAAATCTTTTATAGAGAATTGTCAGTTTGAAGTTTATTCACACCTCTCCTCAAAGAGTTTATATATTCAGTTCAGTCTAATTAGCTTAAATCTTTAGTATGAAGCAATACTTAATTGTTGTGTTTTTGGGGTGACTAATGATCCAATCATGCATCTGTACCTTAAGCCTTTCATATACAGCACACTTTCAAGACCAGAGGCTTGATCTTTTCATGGCCACCCAATCAGCTGGTGACAACTGGAAGGAGGTTTAAAGGTGACCTCCCAGTCACCAGAAGAGGATTGCGAAGTGAACTCACTTTCACCTGATTTGTGCCCCACAAGCAACATTGGCCTACACACAAAATTTAAATAGCTTCTCCTCAAGAATTGCTTCCTTGGAATCTCTGGCAAAGACAAGAAAGATCAGAAAAGAGTAAAGCAAAAATGTGTTTTGAATACGGAAAGACTCATTATAGTGTTCATGCTTTGTATCTATTGTGTGCTTATAGGTGAGAATTGCTTTTAATTATGTTATGTCATACTTGTTTCAGATTTACTGTAAAGACATGCGGAGCAAGCGCCCCAAAGAATACATATCATTGACTCAGGGACCTGGGGAAAACTTCTCAGAGACATTTGACAAGCGGTAATGAAGGAATGCCTTCTAAAATGCTTTGACCAAGGCATGATAATTATTGGGAGAATGAAGTCTACACATATACATTTTGTTTCCCTGCCATAAAATTCATGATTGTTATAACTTCCTTCTCAACCAAACCTCCTCTGTCTTAGTGGCTATGTGCTGTGGAGCAGGCAGTACATTCATGTGCATATATGTTCAGAGTGTATGTATTCTTTTTGGAAATTTAGTTTCGAGGTGTTTTTGGATTGATGTCCTAATTTTTTGTTGGGACTGCGTAGTCTAAGGATTTTTTAAACACTTGAAGAAAGGCTTTTTAAAATGTGTTTATTAATATTAAGCAGTTTTGCATATGGTCTCATATTCATATTTTTAAATAATAGACTTGGATTAAATTATAAAAGATGATGCTAGTTGTGTGGATTATTGTTATAGCAAAGGTTTGGCTGTGGGAGCATTTTTTTTGTCTTTGAATTGTCGAATGTTAGTGTGTGTCTGATCCCTGTGATTATACTCATGATTCTACATGTAACTGTCTGAGTTGTGTAGTAAGAAACTGCTATTCAGTATTCATTGATTGTCATGCAAAGTAAGTCATGTTGCTCTCTTTTTCACATATGGGTAAAGAACAGCTATAAAAAAAGTGAATTAAATTTTTTTTGGTATCAAGTTTTTCTGATTATTTTAAAAAATTTCATGTGTTTTTGTCTCAGACTGCGTCGTCCAGGCACCTGCCCCAATGGTGGGGCCCGTCCCCCTCAGGAGTGTTCTGCGTGCCGACGGAAGAGTTATGAGCAAGCTGGGATCGCCACCTTCTCTAAAGTCAGGATTGATCTGGAGACACTCACCATTGACAGTACGGCTCTTGTGCTTTAGGACATCATTCTTAGCAATATCTTGTTTTGTTTGTTCTGTTTTTTCTCTGTTATAATGCAAATAATTTTGTCAGTTGTAATTGTAAAAGTTTTATGTCCCCATCGACAATATTAAGATCATTTAGGAGACCTGCTGATTTGACTCTGCCTGTCAGGGCCAACCCGTGCTGAAAGGGATGTAGTGTCCCTGCAGAGATATTCAGTAAAAATTCTCCTCACACGGAAATCGAATTCATGTCTCTTGTGTGCAGTGTTGGTATTGAATTTGTTATGGAGAAATATTTGGACAGAGGCACAGAAGCAGAAAAGGTGTGAAAGATTATTATGAAGTTTCATAAAAACACATGTCAAACATCTTTCTTAACCCCATCCACGCACCCTTGAAGTCTCCTTTTAAAAATTTGTCAAAGATATGGATATTGCTTGCTTCTACTACACCTATTTTTTTGGCATCGTCCCGTGAGAGTTTACTTGATTTTGAGACTCAAAATGATAATAATAAGTCAGGTTTGACATGATTATGCTCACATGTCATGCTCGTATTCTCAGCTTCCGATGGAGAGTTCAGCGACATCCGTAGAGGGAAGTTTGTCCAGTTTGGCACAGGTGGAGATTGTTACAGCTCAAGTAACTGCCCTCAGGTAAATAAGCAGTGTAGCTTAGCTTTTACAAAATACATTTTGTTTCAGTCATTTTTCTTTAGTGTTGGTGGATAACTTTCTTTAGTGAAACTACAAACCATGAAGTAAGTCTTTGAATCCAACCCTGATAATTTCAGTTTTCTTCTAGTCCGGCTGTGTTTGAACCCTAATTGCATCGATGCAGGATTCTGGAGAGGATCATGATGTCAAACAGGTTGAGTGGGACAGGCACCCCAGTTGACAGAGATACTCATTATGCAGTTGCGAGCACCGTGAAATACTCAATAAAAGTTTTCCCCTCTGAAGAATTAAACTCACTCACATCTTCTGTGTGCAGCAATATAGAGCTTAAGATTTGCACCACAGATGCTCATGACATATGACTGTTGACTGGAAAAGTTGAAAATCTTATGCCAGACATTGGCTTCCCTTCTACACACACTTCCAACACTTTGACTTCTTTTCTATACACACATCCAACACTTTTACCTCCCTTCTACACACACACACCCACTGTAGGTGCACTGTTAGCTCAGTTGGTATCATACTACTGGACAACAGAGCAGATGGCTCTGGTTCTAATCCCTTAAGGGGTGTTTCGAACGGGGGTTGTTTGGGGGATTTTTTGAGGCTCACCACCCATTTTGCTCGGTGCTATCAGATATGAATGATAAGTTCAAAGGTCTTGCCTTTTAAACAAAACCTTACAATACAATGTTGAAAGGTGTGTTAAACCTATACAATTTCACAAATTTGGCACAGTTTGCTTTGATTTTCTGTCTACACCATACATCCATTCATCCAATATTCCTCTTAATTTACAAATGTTTCCACTTCCATTGATTTGACCTCTCTTCTTCACACATAGTGTAATGTCTTGATTCTTGCCATTGTTTTCAGGGTCGCTTCAGCATTAGCCTTGTAGACACTGGCTTCATTGTGTCGGTGAACACAACCTGGAGTCTACATGGAAATCGCGCCTCGCAGAGGATATGGAGGCTCAGGGTGAGTGACCTTGTGATGGAATGACCTGTCTGTAGCTTTTGAGGGTGATTGTCATTGATTGATGCTCTTGTGTGGTCTGTTACCTCCACTGCTTTTCGATAATACTGTTGCCATGAACTATATTAGAGACGTTGGTAGTTTACTGGAGTTTGAATTTGTGAGTTGGAGCGGCAGGCCTGACGTTGTGTCCTTGGGAAACACATTTCACACTTATTTTCCTCACTTCTCCCTGGTGGAAATGGGTATTCGTCCATAGACAGTGAAAGATCTTGTCAGTATGTGAGTGTTTTAGTGCCCATAAAATGGTAGCTTGCACTATATGCTTCACAGTAAGTTGAGATTGTTTTAGAATGTAATCAGGTGTGCTGGGGTAATAGTATAGATTGTAAAGCGCAAAGAGCTTGCTGTTGAGCGGGAATTTGCACTATACAACTTCTATCTATTATTATAACTGGCAAAATGTGGCCTCTACTGTGCTGGCTTGCAGCATTCTACAGAACTCATTGCCAGCTCTTTGCTGTTATTTAAGTGAGTGAAAATGTGTGCTCACATTGCTGTTTTTACCTATGTATCAGAAAGAGAAGGGAAGAGAGGGTAGGAGGTAGAACGAATAGAGAAAGGAGAAAAGGGAAAGAAAGAGAGAGATTGGGAAGAAAGGAGAGCAGCAACCCATTACAAGCTACTGAAAGTAAGTAAGCTAAAAATTGATAAGACTGAAATGTCAAAAAATGAGAGGGCCCAGGTACTGCAGCTGTGACTGACTCGTCATTCCTGTATTGGCACAAGCAGCCACAGCAGATGCTTGGCCCGACTAGACATCAAGGGCAAAATTCCACAGACCTTGGGGATTGAATACTGTCAGTAATGTGGATGACCATGATGCAAATCATCAAGCAGCCATTCTTGAATTTAGGTTTTGTGAGGAGTTTTTCAATGCTTTGCACTCCCTCGGTTTGGTTCTATCAGAGGTAGACAGCAGCCCTGAGTCTGGGAATGAGCCTCTAATACCATAAAAGATCGCTGTGTATGGCCGAAATCACTGCATGCATGGTTGAGATTTCATGTACCGTGTGCAGGTTCATAAATTTAGAATACAGCAATTATTTTTCCATCACCAAGGGTTGAGCTGATTAGTGATTTCCAAGCGACTTCAGATTCATTATCAGTGTCAAATTTACTGTGAATTTGATACCAAGAAGCTTGCTGAAATTGATGTTAAATAAAAATCATGCATAAAAAAACTTAAACGTCTTGTGCTGACTGGTTAAAGTAAGCAAACAAAATGACAATATCCCCTGGCGGACTCGTGAAGTGTGGTTAAAAAAATAATCCTGTGTCGAGGCTCGACGCAAAAAGTGTTGACTTGATGGCATCCATTGGCTTGTCCAGGGCCTGTTTTACAAAGTTAAACATAATGTTCAGTGGTCCTGCCTCTTAAAGAACCCAACAGCGGTTATGTTGGTGTGTTTGAACCTATGTTCCTTTGTTTTTTCCCCCTCTACAGGATGGGCAGATAATCCGCGGAGTTTGCGGTGGCTATTGCGGTGTCTGCTCCCCTGATCCCAAGGTTGGCCTCAAGCTGGAGCTGTTGAGATGACCTATGACACCTGACCTCTCCCTGAGTGACCTTTAGTAATCTGAACACAATACAGATTTCAATTTGGATCTTGAATGCTGATATCTTTTTTCTTTTGTTGTTGAAAATCTGTGCACCTTTTTGGAGGTGGTTTGCTTGCTGCTGCTGTGCTGCAAGTTGTAAAATATGTACCAGTATGTCACATAGAGATTTATATGATCTGGTGTTTCCTGTGTTGTGTTATGGTCTCTGTCGCACATTTGTATGAAATCTCAGCGTTTCCTGGTAGTCATTTTGTCTGGGTGTTGATGTGTCGGTGTGTAGGTTGTATTCTAGCCGCAGCAGTAGCCAATCATGTCATGTTTAGAACAGCGTTGCTGGTCCACTCCACCACCCACAGTGTCAAGTACATTATATGTATTTATGCTGTTGGGGGTTGGGGGCAGTTTCAAGTCACCAAACATAGTATGGATGATGACAAGATTATAAGACCACTGTACACTCTTTTTTGTCACCAGTAGAATCTCATGGGAAGTATTGTTTCCTAACATCATTCTTTAAGTCAGACTCTTAACTGTCATAGATGATCGCGTCAGAAACTTAATTGGTCCAGCCTTTTCATGCCTGAAGAGTCAAGAACACTTTGAAAAGAGCCTGACAGACTCGGATATGTACATGTCTGGAATTAATGGAAGTTATTGCGACTACTCGCCCACTCACTCATTGCTTTGTGTTTTTAAATGTACATTTAATTTATTTGTCCTTGAGTAAATTATTTGCAGGTAATTTCTTATGCCAGTCTTTATTTATTTTTGCACATGACAGACCTCGATCGTTGTTCACATGTAGAGTTTGTATGTAAAGTCAAGTCTTGTGAGGCTTCACTGCCTTAGTACAAGGGAGTCCACTCATAATAAATTTGCATATCTCTCCCCCTCCCCCCCCCCTCTACAAATGAAAAAAGAAATTTTCAAATCATCTCAGCTCGTTTAAGTGAAGAATAGCCTTGGACCCAGTTCTATTTTTAATCAAACAAGTTTTTAAAATTGAGACTGTATCATGATTAAATGCAAAAGTTTGGTCAGTGTCAGTTTATTATAGGCAGACTCCTCTGTATTGGCTACTTTTGTTGTATTACAAGCTGTTGTACTGGTTTATGTAACATTAATTTGTATTGTAGCAGTGCATAATTGATCATGTCTGAGTTCAGAAAGCTTTTTCTGAGTCTCACTACGATGTACATAGTCATTACTATCATGAAGATGAGCTGGAGGATGTTTGCGTGTATGTTGGTGGGTGGCTTTTGTCCATGAAACAACAAACCCCTGCTCCAACATGGAGTTGTAATGTTGAGATGATATCGATGGTGTTATTATCCAACAGTGTAATTGGAAGAAACAGGTCAACTCTTTTTGTTTCAAACCCACTCTTGATGTTGTTGTGTAAGTCTTCAAAGTCAAGAGTCTGCATACACTGAAAATTGTAGTATAAAAGTACTGTAGGCAAACTTTTGTAAGTGTAAGAATATGAGTTTAACTCCCCCTATTGACACTAATAGGCTATTTAAGAGGTGGGACTTCTGATTATAACGTCCGTCTCTGATAGGATTGAGTTTAATGGGTTAGAACGTGGAAAATTCCACAATACGACCTGAGTTCCAGAAAACCAAATCTGGGATTTGGACCAGGGCCATCCGCTTCGTAGTCTAGCATGATACGAACTGAGTTGACGGAGCGTCCCAAACTTCTTTATTTTTTCGTATCACTGAAATTGCGAGCCTTTTTTTTTTTTGTACTGATAAATTTTCAAAAGACCAGTTACAGTGTTAGAGCCTAACACCATCGATATGTGTGGGGGCTCACCAGGCATCCCTTTGCTCTGAAAAATAGGAGGAAACTTGCTGTCATTCGTAGTTATTCATTGGCGTATTATGTAATTCATTCTTCATTGCTTGATCTTATTGATGTGATGAGAAGCTTGAAAGTATCAAAGGCCTGTTGTATTGGAGTCTACTTGGAATGAGGTTGAGTATACTTGTGTGTGTGTATGTGAGGACTTGTTGCATACAAAGTGTTCTCGTATATGGGTTGCTGTCGCAAGTAAAATAGAACTACTCCAATACTTTTGTGCACCCTAAAAGAGCAGAGTTCTGCATTTTCTGAAGTGAGCAGTGATGTGTGTGTAAAGGGAGGGTAGGGGTAGGAGGGTTAAATGGAGAGTTCGTGTTTGTCCTTTCTATGTGTTATAGAGAGAAATCCTTATGTGATAACTATATGAAGATTTTTTTCTATGTTTCATATTTTTGTGAAAAGTAAGATCATGAATTTGTTTTTTTTTTATTTGCCGTTTTGACCCCTGGTATTTTTAATAGGGTTAAGAAAAGTCATGATGACTTCTTATGTTTTTCTAAAAAGCACTTTGTACTAGCAACCACTACACGCAACAGATTTTGATTGCACTCTTTATAGCACCTATAACTGAGTGATCTTATGTTTTACTATGGGTATAATGTTATAATTTTCTTATAAGGTATTTATTGAAGGGCTTATTATGTTCCTGTTTCTTCCCACGTTCACAATTATAATTTTTGTAAACAATAATTTTGTTTGACTTTGGAAAGGAATAGGTCCAGTGGAAAGTCGGTATGATACCATGTTTAATCTAGTAATTTCTATCTGTATTTCACAAACGTCACATGGAATGAATGATAGTGTTAGTGTACTTGAGCATGGATGTGTTATCTTGTATGAGAACAAGTTTTATAATGAAAGAATAAGGTATAACAGTGTGTGCTTCCATAAGACTGTCATTAGCCATTATGATATATACCCATATTCGTAACTTAAGATTTTGTATTGGCACTGTTTCTATATTATTTGTTAGAAAAATGAGTTCTTGCCTGTAAATATCTATTTTTTTCATGAATTTTTGGATATTATCTCACACTTGTCAATTTTTACAAAGTAGCTCCACTTGCCACTTGGTCTGTATAATAGTTACTGTTGTTTTTGTCCTTAAGTTGTTTTATATGCCAATGTCTCACATCCTTTTCCTTTTGTCTTTTCTGTTCAGGTTATTATACCATGTATACTAACTTTTTACATTTTGAAAGATAGCCAGGTCATACTGAGCATCGTCTTATACAGCACATTCATAATCCAGGAGGGTAGGAGGATGTGATGTCAGAAAAAAAAAAAAAATTAAACATAGAATAAAGCAAATGGAAAAGCAGTCCACAAAATAAGATGACTGGGTGTAAAGGAAACCAGCTCATCTGCACGGTGAGATGGATGCAGTGCATGATTTTATTTGTTTTGAGTCAAGGAGAAGCATCTGGGCATATATATATAGTCATTTAGTGCAGGTATAAAGCATGGAGAATTCACACAAACAGAAAGATGTTAAAGAAATGTGATGTTCCTGCCTCCCTTTTGCAAGGAGGAATTCGGAAAGAAGTGACTGTGAACAAACAGGGAATGAAAAGGAAAATAGTAGGAAAGTGTGTAGCTTTGAACTGTAAAAAATGCCAGCAGAAAAAGGCGAGAAAAGAAGACTATATCTAGGTCACAAAAAAGAGAGTCCTGAAACTTTTCAGAGCAGCAGCGCAAAATATTAATCTCGATCTCATGTGGAGGAATTTGCAACTTAAAAGTAGTTTTTTGGTTTAAGAGATTGCTACCATGTTACTGATAATTAAAGTCATGTAAACATATCACAATAATCAGATTTTGATTATTTGCGTGGACACAACTCGAGAAAACAATGGTTTAATCTAGGGTGTGAGTGACTTAGTTATCGGAAAGTTCTCACAACTGTTTTTATGAAGTTACCTTTGCCCTGTATAGCGCTGCTGGTAAAAACATTGTGCTGGTCAGATCTAATATTTTTTTGGATGTAAAAAGAGCTATTGCTCTGAGGACAATCTTTTGACTGATCCGCTCAGAAAGGGTTATACTTTAGACTAAAAAAATTGTACTTATGAAATCGATTTCAAATGCGAGCTTCCCTCCTACAAAAAAAAAGATTGTAATTGATGATACTATTATAATAAACTGTTAGTCCCCAATAACACAACTTAAGTCATGTAGGAAAAATCTGCTGAGATCTTCTCTTTCATAGCCACCAGCAGTGACTGGGATAGGAGCATCATACCTGTTGAACCACAGAGATGCGCACTCAGCAAATCATTTACTTGTGAAGAAAGAGCCAGACCATTACATCTCAGATGGCTGTTCCGATGCTCGGGCCAAGCAAGGAAATTACAGTTTAGAATGGGAATTTTATTTCAAAAGATCAAGGGGGTCAGTGGAATTTGCTGCTCTTTCTGCATCATTGCTTTCCATCTTCTCTCTTACCCATACTTCTCTGCAATGCTCAGCCTCTAATTGCAATTTCTCTCATCAGTTTCAGTCTGATTATTCATGGTATGTACGCAATCACAAAGCTCTGAACTGTCTATGCCAGTCTGTGAGACAATTCCGTCCAGTTATTTTACTGTTTGCATGCTAGACCCTTTTATATAAGGTGCAGCAACTTATTTTTAAATAAGGTCAGTAGTTTACATTTCATTTAAGTAATTATGAGTTTTAGTAGTGTTATGTAGGCATCAAAAGATTATGTACAGACACTCAAGATTATGATTTTTTAGTTTACTAGAAAATACGTGCTTGCTTTTTGCTTTTTAGTTTTTAGCTTACCCATCAAGACTTTTGTGAAAAATTGAGAGGTGTTAGAAGGGGCTCGAGGTGTGGAATTTTTGCTTTCTCATTAGTCTTTAACTGCAATTTTCATGTGCCCCAAACTAGTTTCTTGCTGATTTTAGACATAGATGCATACTCTCCCTTTGCTTTGTGATTTAGTTAATATTGTCGAAAGGCTGCTTTCATTTTGAAATATGTGACACACTTTCCTGATCAATTATTTACCTTCTGTCTATGCTTGGAGACTAAAAAGCTATTCAGGATTAGTTACAGTGACACAGTACACAAGCTCTCCTCACTAGATTTAGTAAGTTATAGAGACTTTCTTTGTTGACTTCTGTCATACAGAACATGACGAGTTTTAGTTTTGGAGTAACCTAGACATGTCTTGTAATAGATTGGACATATTACGTGAAAAAAGTAAAAAGCAGTTGTTTATAATTTGTATATGTGGCCAAAGCATGCCATTATCGCTGCTAATGTATTGCGTTTCTAGAACCCTCTTGACACATAGAATTATTTGGTGCCAAATGATTCACCTTTTTAAAATAAACATTTTATTGCCAAATGTAGATAAGAGAAGGAAAAAGATGTATTCTTGTGTATGTAAGCAGAATATTAGTACTGCTTTTACATGAAGGGAGCTTGAGAGAACATAATAATGAATACTTTAAAGAAAAATCTGAAAACAGGACAGTCAAGTTCTTACCACAGACATTTTTAAAGTTTTGAATTGAGCCCTCCTTACTCAGTCCGGTTTGTAAACATGGTGTAGGCAGTACGTAGCAGTTATTATAAAAGTTGAAATAATGTTAAAGGCACAGTGTCAATGATGCGCAGGAATACTTGTTGCCTGGATCCTATGGAGACTAGTGTACTCAATCCTATATGTTTTTGCATTTACAAGGATATTGTCAACAGTCTACTGCATCCTGTAGTCTTGATGAGTGGGTTTTTTTTCCTTCATTTTTTAAGGTATAACTAGAGCAACATGAGAGAATGTGCTTGAATTGTCTGTGGATGTAGCAGACAAGGTTGTTTGTGCTAGGCCTGCTGTATATGTATGCCCTTGGTGTATAGTGATGGTATCTGTATAGATGGAGATAAAGCATGCAACTTTTGGAGGATATAGTTGGTGATTGGGTCACACTGATACATGGACAGGTAGAAGATGCGTACTCTTTTGAGGCTCTTATATTTAAATATAGTTCACACTGTCGTTATGATTTGACATGATATTATATTATGCACATGAATACAACTATTTTGGTACAGTTTTGTATTGTTTTCATCAAATGTATCTTTTTGATTAGTCGTTTTTTTTGTTGTATCTAATTGAGGGAGTTGAAGGACACGTTCATGGGAGAAAGATGTACTGGTGGTGGATGATCTGCTTTGATGGAAAAACTTTTACAGTTTTTGGTGTGAGATTTTTTCTGAATCCCTCATATTTTGTTTGTTTTTATATGTCGCACAGCCTATTTATGTAGTTGGTTTATCAATGCTTCAGTGCCTCTTTTCATTGTCAGTTTATTTGCCCTGTTTTCCTCTCTTGTCACTCTCTGTTTGTCATATATGTGTTTGTTCTCGGTTTCTTTAGTGGTTAAGAATATCCCCACCGATATGACCCTGATCGGCATGGAATCTATTCTTCTTCAAATTAATGACTGGAAATATATTGTAAAATTACTGAGAAAACACCAGCAGGGTATTACATTGTATTCAAATAGATCTAACCCTTTTCTCTGTGTAACACGAAAGAATTGCATGTAAATTCACTGTCTAATTAGACTAGGTTATTTAAGATTTCAAGCTGGTGTTTTCTTGCTGTTTGTCATCTTTGAGCAGGCAATTGAAGCCAACAACTTTTATGGCTATGCAATACTTACAAGTCATCACAATCCTAATCTGGATTAGAAATGTGGACTGTGAACAACATCCAGATTTTTATCATCTTTGTTATATGATACACATGCATGAAATGTTTTCACTTTTGACAGCAGTGTTTTACCTCTAATTTGCTCAAGCTGACTCAGCATTTCAATGGCCAACACAGTTCAACGACTCTGCGAGGGTAACATCTCAAGAACATTTCAATATTATTCCTTCCTGAGAAGAAATTTTGAAGATACCAGTGACAATGATAATACTTCAAGTAGCCTGAAAGACAGTCATATCTGACTTGCCAGAATGAAAACATTTTCTCTCTCTCTCAAGAGTGAAAAATATGTAAAGAGTGAAGTTAAAAAGGATGTCATGTGTAAGTAATGATCATGGTATTTTAAAAAAACAGTTTTACCGGTGGCTACATACTTTTGTATAGCATTATTAGTGATCATTTGTGCTGATTGCCATGAATAAGTTAAACAGTGTCAATAGATGTCAGCATTAAAAGAATTTGGAGTTGCTGTATAAATAAGTTGAAAAAAAAGCCAAATTTGACAGTATCAACATATCTGGACACACCCATATCTTGTGGCTTTTTACTTTCCTAGAAAGTTCATCAGTGGAGAATAAAAGATTTACATAAACTGTTGTTGGTCTCAGAAAAAAAGTTAAATGGTAATTGAAATGATATTTAAAAATTCAGTCCCCCAAAAGGTGACCCAATCACTTGTCCTGTTATGTCTTAATTTGCTTTAATTAAAATATGATTTTGATGTATGTCCCGTGATTTATCAAGGAATGATCACAGACTTCATTGCTTTCATGAATCCTTTTGCATTTGTCAATTTGTGTTTAGTATTGCTAGTTGTCGCTCTTGTATTGTCCCTTCATTTCTGTTTGTCTTGTTGTGTGTATATATATATATATATATATATATATATATGTATGTGTTCGTATAAATGCATTTAGGGCATGTGCCTGCACCTGTGGGTATATATGTGTGCGTGTGTGTTTGTGTGTGTATGTGTGTGTGATTGTTACTATTGCTTAGGAGATGAAGTGGTGAGGAGTACTAAAATGTGAGATCTTTGTAGAGGCTCATAGAAATACTGGAACATACATTAAATGCACTTTTAATAAGTGACACTACTGAGGCTCCTCTCTGATAATAATTTGTTGTTAGGCAGTAGAAGGTGTAGGTGATGACGCTGTAATAGTAGCACAGGTTTCTTTTCTCTGGTCTGGTCTATGTCGTTATGTATATGGGTGGAATAATTTACTATGTAATTTTGCCAGTGTTTGTATGTACCATAATATGTGTACAGTGTGTACTACAGAGAGAGGACATTTGTGTAGTTGCCTGCATTTTTGGGGGGGGGGCTATTTGTAGGAGTGTGTGTGCTTGCGCATTCTTGTCTAAGCGAGTAACGTAACAATATACTCCTATGCATTTTTACAAATTAATCACATGCTTGTGTATTTAGAGAAAAAATGTATACGTGTGACTCAGTACATGTGGACATTTATTTAAATGTGAATTCCATACTTTGGTAATACTGAACTTGTTCATGGCCAGTTGTTACTAGCATAATATAAATGATACTACTTATTTTAGTTTCACTCAAGGATCCTATCTATGTTTTTACCTTTTTAAAAATGTATTGCTAATGCCTTGGTTAAAAAGTTTTTCTCTTTTTTTTTTTTGGCACTGATCTGTTTATATACAGACCAAAGTGCGTCAAGTCGGTAACTGCTGTTCTGTATAGAATTTACTTTGAGGTCAATTCTGCATCAATGTTGTTCATAATGACAATTGGATATGTTGCAGAAATGGTACCAAGTCCCTTGCTTAGTCATAGAGCTCTATCTCTTTACTGATTTATAAACATGTATTGACCATAGATATTTTTTCTAAATGGCTCGCTGTTGTATCTTGCAATAGCAAAGTGCAATCTTTACTAATAATCTTCAATGTATGAGGTTAACACACAACCAAAATCAATGGCTCATGTAGAGGTGGAACACTGGATACTGTGGTGAGAGCATAGACGAGACAGAAAGTAAGGAGGCAAAGAGGATACATCAAAGTTTACATATATGTGTTAATAATATGCTCATGAATATATCCATTTTATGAGGGTGAATGCATGGTTTATTTGACTGAACAAGTGCCAAAATCCATCAGGCTTTTTGCTTCAGTGAAATGAGAGATTAATGAAAATTTCTGCTTTCAACTTTAAAGACTTCTATAAGCATTCTTCAATGCTATTGTTATATGCTAAGTCTATTCTTCAGTAAAGCAACGGATTCATAAAAATGTCGTTTGCCCCCGACTTTTCTTCACCTATTTGGAGAAACTTGATATGTAATTATGAAGCAAAAAATGTTTTCAG